TTTTTTTTTTTTGTAAGTAAAAATTTAAGGTTAAAGGTTCCAAACCCACGGCAGCTTTACGCCTGAGGAGGTTTTTGAGTGTTTCCGATGCATTCACACGAAAAATTAAAAAAGTACTCATAACTCTTGTCATAGTTTCCACTAAATWMTTTTCTCAGASTCCCAAAATAACAACYACTTTGTTTTACCTGGTGWCAACAAAGATAACATTCAACTGTATTTTTATTTCAATTTATTTGAATGAACAAAAACCAATGATACATGTTAAAACTACACATTTCACACACTGATCCATTACATGATGACARATTATAACAGGCAAAATAAAGGGTTATAAAGAAATCAAATGCTGCTTTTAACAGTTCCTTTATAATCTAATTGTGTTAATGTTATTAAAACTGGACTTTACATTTGAAATATGTTTTTGTTTGTCGGCTGTAGGACTTACAGTTCAATAGCCTGTTTTTGAATGAACACTAGATAAAATCAATTAGCGTATTTAAAGATAAAATATAGATTTTTTTTAAATCTGTGGATGCTTTGAGAAGCTCACACAAAGTTTAATAACTGATGGGAACTGTAAGGAAAAAAAAAAACAGTCCTCGCATCCTTCTGCATTTCTGACTTTGAAGAAGGAAACAGATGAAGCTTGATTCCAGGAAGAGATTTTAAACCTATTTTAGGAAAATGAAAAAAATCACAAGTTAATGTTTATGCCTGTCTGTTGCTTTTTGTTTTGCTTTTATTAGCTTCCTTTTAAATATATTTACAAGGCCAAGTGCCCCCCCTTAACACGTAGGTTTAATTAAGCCACAACACCCCCGCCCCCCAGCCCTTTTTTAAAATTTGACATTCGAATTGATAAACAAATTTTATTTCCAACCAAGATGATACCACTCACAAACATATCTTAGCTTAAAAAACCAAACTCGATGAACCTTTCACTTTCAGCTTTGTAGGTGGAACTGCACCCACCGAGCTTCACGGCTGAGACGTTTCCTGGCTGGTTTTTATTTATTTATTTATTTATTTATGGCTTGAATGCTTTTGGGTTATAAAAATGTCTCAACCGACAAACCAAATAAAGAAACACCTGCCAAGTACTGCAAACCCTCTCTGTTATCATTTCCATTGCGTCTGTTTTTTTTTTTTTAGAAATAAACAGACATGATTAACTTTAACATTAAGTTACAGTTAATCATGTCTG